GTTCTGGGTGCGGTGGGAGAAAGCGTGTGAGAAACGGTGACGTCTGGAGCCGCCGCCGCAGAAGCGGGGGAGAAGGACGGAGGGAGACGGTCCCGAGCCGGGACCGGACCCCCGCAGCGGGGCCCCAGCGGAGGACCGCTGGGAGACGTGGGTCTCGCTGAGGAGGGACGGCCGCGGGCAGACGCGCAGCTCGGCTGCGTTCGCGCCCGGGCCTGGAGGCGCCTGCGGGGCTGGAGGAACCGTCCGCCGAAGCGCCGGTGCCGGGCACCGGGGCAGGCGGGGGCCCTCCACGGCAGGCCACGTGTGCTTATCGGTCGGGTCGGAGACGCGGGCTGGGAGCCAGACTTCCGACGGGCACGTGGGACGGACCGTAATCCGCTCACGGTGCACCGAGGTCGGCTCGGCTGAAGCCGGACCCCGGGGAAACTTTAACGGAGCTCCAGCAGAACCGGGGAGCCGTCCACGGACTAATTACAGCCCAGGACGGACTCACCAGAGCGGCCGGAGCCCGCCAGCCGAGCGGCAGGGAGATCCGTGGAGGCAGAGAGCTCAGGGAGCCGTAAACCAGAAGCGGGGAAAAACGCTCAAAAACGGCCGAAAACCCCGAAAATCACTGGTACGCTCGCATACGTGAGGCCTGCGAGGGCCCCTGGAGGGGTCCACGGCCGAAAATCCGCTTCTTTTTGTGTCCGAGTGCTCTTCAAAAACTCTCTCCTGAAATCCTGCCGGCGGGGTTTTGTCTTTCTGTGAGCTGGAAGTGCTATTTTCCCCGATTGGGCGGGGCTTAAGCGGGTGTCAAGGGAGGGCAATGCTTTGTATGCCCGGAAACCCATTTTTCATTTATCCCGGCTCCTGTGAGCGTGCTAAAAATCATTCGACCGCACAGGGCTGTCCTCCGGAACACGGGCTGTCGGCCAGCGGTGCGTTTTTCCCGCATTTATTGGTTTTTGACCGTTTTTCCGGCCTTTTCCCGGCGCGACTTCCGCCGCTTCCCCCGCTCCGGGGAAACCGTTTAAAAATCGGAGACCCACGCCGAATTGTTGTCCTGGCCGCAGGCTTTCCGGTGATATACAACTTTCCTGGGGGGGGACTCCTTTTTACCCGTTTAATCGGAAGTTGAAGTTGACCGACCGGAAAAAAGGCGCTCTTCGCGGCTTAAAAATCGGGGAAACGGTATAAAAATCAGAGACCCGCGCCGAATTGTTGTCCAGGCCGCAGGCTTTCCGGTGATATATAGCTTTCCTGGGGGGGAACTCATTTTTACCCGTTTTATCGGAAGTTGAATTTGACCGTGCCGCCGATAGATGCTCATCCCAGCTATGGCTCCACATCCCCGGGTAACAGAGAACCGGGACTGCAGCCTCTCTGAGAACCAGGAATCGTTAAAGTGTTTTTAATTCTACCCGGGAAAGGGGACCAGAGCCCCGGGTAACAGAACGGGGACAGCAGCCTCTCTGAGAACCAGGAATCGGTAAAGTGTTTTTAATTTCTACCCGGGACAGGGGACCAGAGCCCCGGGTAACAGAACGGGGACAGCAGCCTCTCTGAGAACCAGGAATCGGTAAAGTGTTTTTAATTCTACCCGGGACAGGGGACCAGAGCCCCGGGTAACTGAACTGGGAGAGCAGCCTCTCTGAGAACCAGGCCTGGAGCTCACCGAGTGAGAACCAGGAATCGGTAAAGTGTTTTTAATTCTACCCGGGACAGGGGACCAGAGCCCCGGGTAACTGAACTGGAAGAGCAGCCTCTCTTAGGACCAGGCCTGGAGCTCACCCAGTGAGAACCAGGAATTGGTAAAGTGTTTTTAATTCTACCCGGACAGGGGACCAGAGCCCCGGGTAACTGAACTGGAAGAGCAGCCTCTCTTAGGACCAGGCCTGGAGCTCACCCAGTGAGAACCAGGAATCGGTAAAGTTTTTAATTCTACCCGGGACAGGGGACCGGAGCCCCGGGTAACAGAACCGGGACGGCAGCCTCTCTGAGAACCAGGCCCTCCATCCGAACCACTTACCCCAGCAGTGGCTCCACATCCCCGGGTAACAGAGAACCGGACCGCAGCCTCTCATACAACCAGGGCCTGCTGCGGAGCTACTCACCCCAGCCGTGGCTCCACAATCCCGGGTAACAGAGAACCACCAACACAGCCTCTCATACAACCAGGCTCTCCATCACAACCACTTACCCCAGCCGTGCATCCACACCCCCGGGTAACACAGAACCACCAATCCAGCCTCTCTTAGAACCAGGCCCTCCATCCGAACCTGCGGACCCACACTTAAGCCCCCTCCCACGGACTAAGCCGAGCAGCCATACGCCCAGTAGAGCCGTGCCCCTGGTAAGGCAAAAAAAAAAAAAAATAAAAAAAAAAAAAACAGTTTAACAACGCACAACCCATTATGAGTCATGGTCCTAATTTTATACATGTTTCCAAGTCATTATAAGCCATCTAGTTTGAGATGAAAGCTCATTCTGATCATAATTTATAGGGTTTGTTAGATAGTGCAGTAAAAACAGAGAATATAGAAGTTAAATATGAAGCACCACCAAACAATGCATTCTGGGAAATCCAGACAGACATTTTTAAGTAATTTATGATGTTCAGACGTCGTTAAAACACATTTCTGGCACATAGCAGAAGCTCAGAGATGAGGTTTGAAGCTCAGCTGTGATTTCTGTCTCAAAAACAGAGTTTGAATAGAAATAAAATAAAATAAAACATGGTTAAGAGTAGATGCTTAAAACCAAAGTTCGTCTTCAGAGCAGCGAGTCCTTCATCCAACAAAGGCTCAGAGATGGCATTTTAAAAGTGGGATTTATTAACAAAACAAAGCTCAAAATAAATCAAATTGGGATCAAATCTGGTGAAGTTAAAGTAAAAGGCCACTGTGGTTTGGGCCACATCACAGTTTGATAGGACGTTCCCAGCTATACTGACAGGTAGAAAAATGAATAGGAGTCTTTGGAGTAGGCTCGGACCGCCAAACGTGGTAGGCATCTGCAGAGGGTTGGAGGGAGCAGAGAAGCCAAGTTTTGTAAAAACAACTTATAATTTTGGAGTTGTTCATTCTTGAAATAAATGGAGGTCAATGGCAGCTATGTCAAGGGAATGAGCAACATATTCTCCTTACCAAGATTGTCTCTCTACCTCTTTTAGTTTAGTTTATTTGCTGAAATGTGAAAGTGGTTTTCGTCTTATGTCCCCAACCCTCCACTAGATGGCAGTATAGGACTGTCATTTTAAATGGGGCTCTCCAAACAAGCCAAGTTTCAACTCAGATCAAAATCTAATCAAATGAAACAGACCAACAAATATTTAGAATTAAAAAAACATTTATTTGATAATAAATTACAAATTTTATTATATTAGAACACTGTGCATGACATTCATAAAAAAAGATATCAGTGTCCAATCATGTTGAACAATATGCAAGGGGAGTACAATAAGGATCTATTTTTCAATGCCTTATGATGTAATACCTGTGGAGAAAGAAATTACACTTGTAAATCAATGATCAAGAAAGAAATACCTGTTTATGAAAACTGCATTATTTTGAGGACATTTTTTAACATTATAATTGCAAAACAAAATAAAATTAGAAAAAAACTGTTTGTGTCATAAAGCGGGGCGAAGATGGTGATGATAAAGCTTAATGATGAAAGATAAAAATCCTGGCAGCACAGAGGAGAAAAAGCTATGAGCTCATTTCTGGTAGCAAGTGGTGAACAGTAATCGGCCGACAGCGACGAGAAAACGAGAGAGTTTAGACTGAACAGAGAACTAGAAACACAGGTTGGGTATAAATACACAGGAGGAAATGAAGGGAACTGGAAAGAGTCGGGATCAATCAAGGATAGACAAGAAACACAAAAACTCAACTGACAGAATCCAAAATAAACACAGAAAAAATCAAATCTTTACAGATTGATATAAAGTTTCAGACTGAAAACAAATTGTTTTAGCTCATTCCTTTTAAATGTATTATTTAAAGGGAAAGGTCTAAAAAGTTGAGGCTGCATAATTACTGAGTTTTTTAATCTATTTTTGTTTTTCCACATGAAATTAAATAGCATCTTGTGACAACTTTTTGTTTCCATTCAGAGATAAAGCAGCATAAGACATGAAGTCTTATGCTCTGCATGGTGAATACAATTTGAATCTTAAATCTCTGCTGCCACTAAAGTTCAGATAACATCTGGAATCTGTTTCTCATGATCATTCCTGAGTAACCAATAGATTATTTTACAGGTATGCTACAAGTAGCAGAAATGTAACAATATTTAAGAGCAACTGCTTCACATTTTTTTAGATTAGGAAAAGTCCAGATGCAGCAGAGAAAGGTTAATCTCGTCAATCAGATGTATCTCAGAAGAGTTTCTTTTAGAAATAATTATCAGGCTGATGATAATTTCTCATCCCACTACTGCAATACTTTTTAGTTTGCTGAGATTAATTAATAATCTGTAAGTAACTGAGTGCAGATGAGGCGATATGAGACGTCGCTGCCCGACTCCTCCTTTGAGAATAAAACCAAGTGAAGGACCAGCATTGCATCTAATTCCATTAGTGACATTGTTCTGATAGCACTGCTAGAGTAAGAACCAAAACCAGGTGTGAAATATGACATTATGTTCAGTGTTGTCAAAAGCTTTACAAAAGTCCAGAAAAAGGATAAAAAGATTTATGCTCTGATAACAGCATAAATCATTGTTCAGTCTGATTGTGAGCATTTAACTTCTGTTGTCTTGTGTAGTAGGCCCCCCACCGAGGCGAGACATTGAATCCTTTATTTGCAGAAATTTAAAGTGTCATTATTTAACATGGACTTCATCATAATCAAATGGAGAACACATTAACATTTTAATATGGCTTAGATCAAGTGTGAAAATATTGAGCTCCTCTGCATTTTCCTAGTCGTCTGGTTGTCGAGTGTTTCCACCTCAGCCCAATAGGGGGCGATAACATACCTTGACGTTTTCGCTTTTCATCCAGAGAAGAAGAAAGGAGGCGGAAGAAGACGGCAGTGGAACCAGGAAGAAGGGGCTTATTTTAACCTGAACAGGCTCAGAACCGCCAAAGAACCGTCAGAGCGTTACTTTCTGTAATTGTCAGGCATCGTGTTCGTGTCGAGATGGAAGGTGGGTTTTGTTCTGAGAGATTAAGACTCTGTGTTGATGGGATTGGTCTGTTTTTAAGCTGATCACCGGCAGCTACTGCTAGCCTGGGCGCGGATGCGGTTTGTTGTTGTTTTCTTCATGTTGAGCTTCGACTTGAAGTGAATCTGATCATTAGATCAGATTCCAGCTGGATTCACATTACTGGCTAATAACTAAGCAGAAACTTCCTGAACTTTTCACCTGTACAAACTAAAACTTCCAGAAACAAATTTTTTTGTCATTAAAATTTGATCATTTTAAAACGTCTTGGCAAAAATATTGCATCATAATCTATGTTCATGTAGCTGAGGCTGCTCTTAATTTGTAGGACGGTTTAAAGGCACTGTTCAGGTTTGTCATTGCTCTCAACCTGGAGTGTCGGTCAGAACACTACTTCTATTGGATTCAGTTCAGGACCAGATGTGGGGCAGCAGGTGGAAGAAGGAATACATGAGGCAGGATCCCTTTTACTTTCTGTATTCAAGTTGGGTCACAGATCTTAGTCCAACAACAGTAATTGGCATCAAGGTATATTTGGTGGTGTGGGTGAGTGCTTCAGGTATGTGTGTAGGTGTGTGTGTGGTCTCCTAGAATAAACAGAAATACAGAAATAAGTTTCAGGTTTCTATCATTACACATTACTATTACACCTTAGATAAACTAAGAAGGAAATAAATAAAGCCTAAACAAGCTTAACATCAGAATTACTATTCATAAGTGAACTAAAACAAATGAATTAATATCAATGCCTGTGCGCCTGTCAAGTACATCGCTCAGCGCTCTACAACACACATATAGTCGATAGCTCGGACCTAACGGTAAATAACGGTTAACAAATAAACTCCGAATCATTCATTTAACTTCAGCAAACAATCAAATATAATAACTTACTTGTCACTAACGCACACTTATAAGGCGATCACACATATTCTGCCCCTCTCACGTATTAGCAGTGGCTCTGTTACCCCACCTCCCCCTCTGATATCAGGAACGGTTCTCTTTCTTACGGCGATGTGATGACGTCATCGCCGCCCCCAACTCCGGTATGCCCTAAGTGGCAAAAGTAACGCTGAACAGAAATCACTACGAACAGTAGTAGTTAACAAACTTAGCTTATTTAAGGGGTCTTTTGAACAGTTCATTTATTATTATTGACCTTAGAAACCAGACATTTTTAATAAAGTGCCTTAAGAGGATTTTGGCCATGAACCTGTCCAATTTAAAGGCGACATTAATATGACTTTGTTAGCTTTATGAATTATGCTGGCAGGCCATCATAACATCACATTGTTTATTTGTCTTTTCAGGTCATTTGTTTTTAAGTTCTGTTTTATGAAATACGCTATATAATTGTGATAAAATGTTATTATCATGCATCAATAAAATGAAGAAAAAAAATTATTCAATTCTGTACCATTAGTCAGTATAATTACTTTATTGTTATTTAGATGTAGATGTTAATGAAAACCTGAAAATAAAACTCCAGTTTGTTTTTTTAAATAAGACTAAGAGGACTTAAATCTGGTGTTCATGGAAGAAGTCCAGGGTCAGTCGTTGTTGCACTGCGTTGGTGCAGTTTCATCTGCGCAGATGTGATTTAAAGTCAGATGATGAATTCCAGCAGGTTTGTTCAGTAATTGGTTGGAAGAGCAATTTTCTGAAATACTGAGATGCTGTTTGATGAATGCTTTATAACAATGAAATTTAATATTTTTAGTATTTGCAGTGAATCTGTTTATGAATTGATATTTGTAATGTTTTCAATTAACAAAAGCATTATTCGAACTGTATCTATGGTCTCAAAAGCAATATTGTGAAGTTTGCTCTCATTCTTTTTAATGCTCTCGACTCTCTTTCTCCAGAAACACTCTTTCAGCTGAGGGTAAGTCCCGAGATCATATTGATCTGTATTGTCTATACAAGCTAAAAGTTTATACAATTGACACTTTTTCCTTTTTTCTCACAGTTTACATCGAAGCAGCTTGAGAGACTGGCAAAGAAGGCAGAAAAGGAATCAGAAAAGGAGCAGGCCAAAGTCAAGAAGGTGAGGATTAGAAGCCGGTTTGATGCTCATTGTAGTTCAGGACGATCCAGATTTTATTCTGCTTACTTATTCTCTTTCTGCATTTGTATTGTCACATCTCTATGTTGGATGAAACATGCTGGAAAGGCTTGAGATGATGGATCAACAAATAACAAACAGACGAGAACAAAATGACTTGATCCAATTTTGGGTTGGAATATTTCTAATCGGCAGAATTTGGAGTTCAGTGAACAATTAGATTTTAAAGTGCCGTACAGAAAGTCCAACTTGTTTGTCGTATTTAACGCATTGAAATGCAAAGATTGGGTGAGGCGAAGATCAAATCTGCTCAGCTCTGGAGTCCTAGGATGAGCTGAAGATGGAGCAGAGGGTCTTTCACAGCCTAACCTGCTGGGAGGTTGGTCAGAGAACAGAACTGATTAATGGTGCTCTAAAACCCCTGACTTATGAAGACCCTAAATCAGGTGTGTCAAACTCATTTTCGTTTTGGGCCAAATCAAGATCATGAATGCTCTTAAAGGGCCGGTTGTGCCAGAACCTGTTCACAAACTGTTAATATGTCAATGAATTCTTAAAATTACATAATATTATTGAAGATTTCCCTTCAGGAACTTATAATAAATGTCACTGTTTATTTACTCGCTGTATAAATCATGGACTATAATCATACATCAACTAAATTCTCAAGAAACTGGAGGGATTGATTGATATAAATTGGCAGTAAACAGATAAAAACTGCATTGATATGATTGATAATATAATATTTAATCACACTTAGTGTTTAGTGTAGTCTGTGGAGGGCCACATAAAAAGCTACGGCGGGCCGGATTTGGCCCCCGGGCCTTGAGTTTGACACATGTGCCCTAAATAAAATCCAGTGACTGCTTCTAGACCTCACCTAAACAGAGTCCACTTCTCAGCAATTTGGTATTAGTATAAAGTAGCTGTTCTGAGAAGAAGCCAAAAGCACCTCAACTGCTCTTGAGGAGCTACAGAGATCCACAGCTCGGGTGGAACCATCTATTAGTCTTGAACTTTATAAATCTGGTGTTCATGGAAGAAGTCCAAGGTCAGCCGTTGTGGCACTGCGTCGTGCAGTTTGATCTGTGCAGATGTGATGTAAAGTCAGATGACGAATTCTTGAAGGTTTGTTCAGCATTTCTATATATTTTTGTTCATCATTCTTCTGGAGCCCATAATCACATCTTGAAGATGGATATGATCATCCTTCAGGTGGAAATCTGGTGCTGCACTTTTTCTCCTCACATTCTCAAAGTGGTCAGACTACCTTGATGAATAGTCAGTAGAAGATGACTCAGCATTTTCTCTAACATGTATTCATGAAACTCACCTGTCTCACCTGGTCCTTCATGCCAGTCAGAGGAAGGTTTTATCTGGCACCAAAATGGCCGCTGATCTGTTACCTTAATTGGGAGTAAGCAACATTATTTAGTTTTGTTCACTGAAGTTAAGCATGTCTTCACCTCTGGATTGGTAGAGGTCTTAATGAGTCTTATTTGTAGAAAATGCTTATAATTACCTGAGAGACCAAACAGCTCTCAGTGCTGTTGTGTTTCTTAAAGAGACGATTTAATTACAAAACAGAAATAGTTGAATTTATTCTCAACAGGCTTTGCAGCAGAAAAATGTTGAATGTGCTCGAGTTTATGCTGAGAACGCCATCAGGAAAAAGAACGAAGGTGTGAACTGGCTGCGCATGGCGTCCCGAGTTGATGCGGTGGCCTCTAAAGTCCAGACTGCCGTCACCATGAAGGGAGTGAGTCTCACCAATTGGATCACCTCAACTTCTGTTTCCCCCAGAAGTCTAGAATTTGATGCTTCATTTTCTATTTTTGATTCAAGTTTATCATACATTGATGTGATTTCCTGGTCTAGGTGACTAAAAGCATGGGCCAGGTGACCAAAGCCCTGGATAAGGCTCTGAACTCCATGGATCTGCAGAAGGTTTCCGCAGTAATGGATAAGTTTGAGAGCCAGGTTCAGAACCTTGACGTCCACACCTCAGTGAGTCGCTGCAGAGCCTCTGTCTGCTCTCATGCTTCAGAAACTCCCTCCCTAACCTCACCTGCTCCTACCTACACCAGGTGATGGAGGACTCCATGAGCTCAGCCATGACACTGACCACGCCCCAGGAACAGGTGGACGACCTCATCCACCAAATAGCAGAAGAGGGCGGCCTGGAGGTGATGGACCAGCTGAATCAGCTTCCTGCTGGAGCGACGTCACTGGGTGGAGAGAGTTCCCGGAGCCAGGAGAAGGAGGACCAGCTGTCTCGGCGGTAAGGGTCACATGCCGGACCAGGTAGATTTGTTTGAGATGAAACACCTGGTGAGGCCTGGCGGAAACCAAATCTTAAAAACACAAAAATCTAAACCCACGTAAAGGAAGAAAACCAATGAACACAGACGCATTAAAACAAAGTTGTGTCTAAATTAATCAAAGCATTTACAAAGAAATGCAGATTAATAATGGCTTTAATTACATTAAAAGAACAACTCCTTGACTAGAAATCTTTCTCCGGTTTGAGTAAGGCTTAGCAACCTGGAAGGTTTTAACCAGGATCAGAGTGAAGATTATCCAAAGAAAACATCAGAGGTCAGAAACAGAGAATTAAATCAGATTGGATGAACTGAAATAGGACAGAAAACTATTTAGAGTTGTTTATTGGTGACTCAGTTCAGTCGGTACAAAATGTTGAGAAAGCACCTTGGTCATTCTTTAGACTTTATCTTAGTGGCATCATTGCGGCAGCAGAACTAACCTGTGGTGAATCATGTGAACACTAAATCTCTCTCTGCTGGACAAAAGAATCATCATTCAATATTGTTTGAAAATTACAATAAAGTTTTTCTACTGGAGGGTGTGTAGAAATGTCAGTGCTGATGTATAATGATATCTAATAATATATGAGAGAAGAGAAGCCAGAGTGTAACAGTGAGCTTATTCTTTCCTAAAATGAATAAGAGTCTCCTGGAGTTGAAGTAAAAATATCCCAAAGTCACCTTTACACACAATTATTCTCCATCCGCTTCATTCTGGCTCTTTTCTGTCCACTGGATCTTTCCTCTGATCTCTGGACTTTTTGGCGTCTATAGGATCAGCAGGAACATCCAGGCCAGAAATCAGAAACATTACGAAATGAAAAAGTTCAGCCAGAAACATTCAGGGCGTCTGAATGCTAAAGGACCCTCCTCTTGAAACTGCAGTCTGGTACTAAAGGTTCTGCTAGGAACCTCTGGATCAATCAGATCTCTACTAGAGCTGATTCTTTATCTGTGAGAATAGGAGATTATAATCTGGATTAACAGGGAGCCGTTGTAATTTCCAGCAGATGTTTGGGTTCAACCTCTGGATCTGAGGTGAAGCTTCGGGTTCAGACTTCAGTCTGAGGAATATTTCAGACCACCAGAGGGCGGCGTGGTTCAACACAGTGAAGTATCTGAGCGAGATTTCCAGTAACTAAATAACTAAATCTAGAATAACTTTAAAGTATTTCCTCAAATCTGCGAAACAGAAAATTATTCTGGGAATCTGAGAAATTATGCTGTTACATAAAGTATAATATCATTGAAAAGTTCATTTATTTCAGTAAATTTTGGTTTATAGTTTATATTAACCCAAAATTAATTTTACATTAAACCAATAAAAAATTCTTTTTTCCAGAAAACTTGAAAAGTAAACGCTCTGAAATGTCCTGGCAGATGCTGTTCTGGATCTGGACCAGATAGAACCAAACCAGAACCAACAGGCTCCTCAGACCTTCACTGATTAGAAACTTTAGCCTTCCAAAGCCAGATTCATGGACACATATTTTCAAATGAAAACTTTGGATCCAGTCCTTTTCTTGTTACTCTCAGGTCTGGAGTGGTTCTGTGAAGGTTGGAGCTGATGTTCTGAACCAAACCCTCTGGACTTCCTCCAAGCTGTTCAACTGGTTCCGCTTCTATGGGCTGCAGTGAGCCCTGCTGCTTTAGAATCTTTTCATCACACAGCTCTTCCTCCACTAAACTTTCCAGCGATCTTCATTCTGTGAATAAAGCTTGTTGTAGCTTTCCCTAAAAGCTGCTTGCAGAGGGCAACAGTCAGCAGTCCTCCAGGGCCGCTGGCCGTCCTGCAGGTTTTAGATGAGCCACAGGTCCAAAACACTGGAATGAAACGGCTTCATGACCTCCTCCTCGTGTGGATCGGTTCTCCAGAGCCTTAAAGATCTCATTGTTCTGTTCAGGTGCTGCAGCAGAGGCTCATCTAGAAGTTTCAGGACACAGGCCCTCCAGGTCCGGAGTTTGACTCCTGTGATCCAGAAGGAAGAAACAAACGTTTCCTGAGAAGCAGAAAACAATTAGACTTCAGACCTGGCAGGGTTTATTTTTCTGATAGTAATTCATTAATATTCCAACTTTTCTGTTTGTTTTTATCACACTGTATGTTGAGCAGCAGGAACCTGTTGAACTTTTTATTGAAACTGCTCTAATGATTTGAACTGAGCTCAGTTTGTCTGGATTTTTGCTGCATGTTTTTCTGCTGTCAGTTTGCTGAAATGCAGCTGATGTGTGAAATGTTTGTTTGCAGGTTGGCAGCTCTGAGGAACTGAAGGCGCTACTGCATGGAGGAGCAGGACGGCAGCAGCTAAATGTTTGGATTGAACTGTTCCTGCTGGGAGAACTTAATGAGTTTATTGATTTTCCTCCTCTGGCCTAAAAATAAACCACAGCAGCCAGGAATAGCATCAGCTTTACCTACTGGCTTCATCAGTCTCCTCTTCACTCCACTCACAGGAATCTGGATGCAAATGTTGTGAAATATGTTTCTGGTGATGAGCTCAGCTGGTTCATTATAGACCAGATGCTGAAACACTAACAGGTTTATTTCCTCCCGTTTCTCTTCTGTGGGGTTTAGTTCAGTTTCTTTTCTGCTTTCAAAGCCTTATGTTGGGACGCAGCTGCTTCTTCTTCAGTGCCTAGAAAGAGCAGCCGGACGTTTTCCTCGCTCAGAAACGTTTTTATTCGTTTTTAATAGTTAGTTCTGATCCATTTATGGTTCAGAGAACCATAACGTGCTCCAGATTATCCTCTGCAGCGTCTCCACCGGCGAGGTTCTGATCCGGTTGCAATCTGGTTCGGGTGCGGTGGAGGTTTTATTTAAACTGGTCAGCACTTTTTGTTTTCCATATTTATCTTGTAAAATAAAGTTCTGCCCTCTGTTGTCAGTCAGCCGTTTGTTTGTCCCAGAAGCCAAAGACATTTTTCAGGCCCTGATTGGTTGGATTCTCCACAGGTTTAATTATAATCCGATCCATTAACATAATTATGCAAATCTTGAAGCGTTGTTCACATTTATTTGTTCTTCAAGTAAATCAGAATGGAAAGTTCTCTTCGATGGATCGTGATCCATAAATCTGACATCAGTAATCATAAAGGGAAAGACAGGAGAACATTTCTACTCTACCGCCTGAACTCAAATACACCTTAAATCTTTCAAGTCCAATTTTTATCTCTTTTCTCAGAAGAGTTTTTGCGGCGCTCGTATTTTTTAAAGTAGACAGACAGGAAAGAGGAGAAGACATGCAGCAAAGATCGCCTGGACCTGGAATCGAACCCGTGACGTCCGCGTATGAGGACTGAGGCTTCCACACGTGGGGCGTGCTGACCCGCTGCACCACCACAGCACCAAGTTGATTTTAATCTGTTTCCAAACTATTTACTTCTTATAAAACAAAAAACCTGAAAGCATTTCTGTTAAAAACAAATAAGAGGGTTAAAACAGAACTAAGTCATAGAAAAGTGATTTAGTTCAGGCTGACAAAAACGACAAAGTTGAAGTTTAACCTTATTGGAAACTATTTAGAGATCACGTTATATTTGATTATGATGCCACTTATGAATCAGACTTCAAAACAAAACTAATCCAGTTAAAAAAGTTTGAGACATTTTATTCCCAAATCTTCCCACTATTGTCAGAAAACCTGAAAAATGCTTTTTGTTCTCTCAGTGTGAATGAATAAATCCAGAATATTATTCTGATTACCGTAATAATCAGATATAAAAAGATTTCAGTCTTTTACAAAAATCTGAATTATTTTGTGAACTTTTCCTATCAGACTCAAGTTCATCTGCCTTTCTGTTTCTCATGCATGTTGAACTTTAGGAAGAAAAGTTCACTCAGTAAAGGTTCTGCTTATGATCCAGGCTGCAGGGTTGCTCCTCTGTGACCTTTGACCTCTTTGTCTGCAACGTGAGAGAGACAGATCTGTGAAGGATCATCTTCATCCCTCTTCCTCCTCACGGAAGTTAGAGGGATGATGCCGACCGAAGCTCCCCTCCCCCACCTGTTTCTCCTCCTGGAGGCCCGGCCCAGTCCTCCCTGATGTGGGATCATGTTGGAGAGTCCCAGTTCTCCATTTCCTGTTTTAGGAAATAAGATCCTTTTGGATCTTATTTCCGCCTAATGTCAAGCCCTTTCAGGCAGACTATTACCCAGAATTCATTGCTGCATGTGACGTTTTGAGTTAAAAGGCAGAATTATGACAAGATGTTTTTGTTTATTGAAAATGGTCTGAAGAGGCAAAAATCAGAAACAAAAAATTTTTGATGTGAGAAACTGAAAAAAAAGAAATTAATAATATTCACAAACTGTGAGGAAAGTCAAACTTTCAAATGCAAGACAAATTCCCACCTTTGTGAAACTGATTTTTCCTGCATGTGTAACATTTTCTGTTTCACTTTTTTCACAGTGACTATTTTTATCTATTTATTTATCATATTAAAGTTTTGGTTACTTCTCATACTATTTTCACTTTCTTTGACTTTTCAATAAAGATGAAAAACAAATTCCTATAAGTCCACCTTTTAACTCAAAAGTCACATGCAGCAATGAATTGTGGGTAATGCACTTAGCCAAAGTCTGTCTGAATGCAGGTACAACTTTATACACGTCAACAGTTTCTGCTTTAGCTACGTACTAATTTCTCAAAACTGGAGTAAAGTCGTCTGTAGCTTTAATAACAATAAAAGAATATGACAGATCAAAAACTCAAAAAGGGCACGAGGGGCATAAAGAATAAAAGGGCAAGCGCCCCCTCACCCCCACCCCCCCCTTTGCCCATGGCTGTAATGCATCCATTAAAAAAATCAAAAACATGATAATTTTAACTCACCTTTTTTTATAGATCTTTATTGAGATACAGAATACATAACAGTACAAACATAGCATGCATTGTGGTATAATGTCTGCCAGGAGAGACTATATCACCATAACATTATAGAAATACATTAAAGAGAGAACACAAAGAGCATCATAGGTTTAGTATTGGTGGAGTTTTCAATAGGTCTGATCTGTTGTTTGAACTCATTTTCAAAAATAGAAAGAAGTAGTTTTTCATTAGTGTAACAGGATTTGTGAATGAATATAGTAAGATTAATAAACTAAAAATGTGCTGTTTGGTTATTGGGTCGTCAGTGAGGCCAAACAATACATGTTCAAGAAAATAGGGAGAAAATGAAATGGAAGAATAAATCCATCAGGCGGGGTTGGAACAATAAATCATAGTGCAAATGCTTTTCCAAAATTGAACAGAAAAGGAGCAAATAAATGAAATAAACGTGTTTTTCCTGCTACTCAGGCAAATACGTCACACTTGTGGAAGGAACTGTCTGCTGTTAATTTAGAAATCAACACCAGACAAAGTTGTTTTGATTTCACTCTCTGGAATAACACCAACTCTTTAGGAAAATTCACTCAAATTTGACTAAACGACCGTTGAATTAACTCTTCTACAAAACTTTAGAAAGAAAAAAGTTGACTCGGTAAAGGTTCTGGTTCTGATCCAGGCTGCAGGGAAATTGAACACTTTTGATTTTGCTGTGAAGGACTCAACTTGGCTTTGGTTTTTCCTCCATTATTTTCCTCGCTGTAAATAAAGGAGGTGGCGATCACGTGACCGCCGCTGTGGTCACGTGACCGCCCCTGCTGACGCAGCGCAGCTCCATGGACCATCAGGGTAGTCATGGTTACAGTGGGAGGAGAGGAAGTTTCTTTCAAAAATAAAAGCCTATTAATGGGCATTTATTCCACCTGAGATATTAATCAAACATTGTTTGGAACTAGTTCTGGTCTTAACGAACCAAATGTGAACTTTGGTCACTAAACATCACTCTGAATAACCAGGAGGCACTGAAGCTGAATTTCTTGCAGATGATTGATGTAATTTTCTAACTGGATCACTGTGATCCAGTCTAAGTCTGGAAACTCATAATAATCAGGTGAAAACTCGAAGATAACATCCCATAGTGGGAACACGAGATTCACACTCGTGTTCCCAAAAATGATGAAGGACTCCTAATTTTTAAAAGCAATAAAAGAATGAGAGCGAGAGAAGAGCTGGAGTCCATTTTGATTAATGATAGGGTTCCTGTCAATACTCCCATTTTATCTCATCCTGAGATGAGACGTTAGCTCATCTCAGGCTTTTACTTTGGCAAAGCTAAGCGGAAGTCTGCATCTTCCATTAACCAGCTTGACGTCACGCCTCGGCAGAAGGCTGCAGCGTCCGTTTTCATTCTTTTTTCAATCGCTTTTCGTCTTTCTGGAGAAAAAATGAGCGCAAGAGGCGAAGCTGCGGTTCTTCCTTCGGACTGAAGACCAACCGGCCGGTTGTGGGTTGGATTCCCGGAGCTGCCGCGGTGCAGCTGGGCTCCGCCAGGGCCGGACAGGGCGGGGATGCTTCGGGTCCGGTATAAAGGCGGTACGAAAATGGGAACCAGACAAGACGAGGGGCGGCCGACGACGCGGAGCTTTTGTACCGAAAAGAGGAATGAGAAGTTCGGCGTGCCGGCTGATCCGGGCGGCGGTGTAGCCGCCTGCGGAGCGCCCTGGCGGGGCCGACGCGTGTTTCTGCGGCGCCCCTCCGCCCTCTGGCCGCCACTGCGATGAGGACGCTTTTTACTCTCTGTTTGCTCCTGATCGGCGGACCGAACCGGACCTGGGCCACCGGCAACCTGACCGTGGACAGCAGCACCGACTCCAGCCGGACGAACCACTCCGGCTACATCTCCATCGGGGACGGATCGGCGCAGGAATTTGAGTTTCCGGAAAACACCGAAGGAGTGATCGTGATCTCCAGTCGGTACCGGGGCTCCAGCCGGAAGCAGACGGTGAGGGTTCGGTCTCTGGACCCGGAGGTCCTCTCCGTCCTGAATGTGACGGCCGGCGGCCGGGAAGGACCGGCCGGAAGCTTCATCATCAGCATCCGCTCGGGCTTCCCGGGCCGGGCGCCGCTGCAGATCCAGCTGCTGGACTGGGACCGGGACTCGGTTCCGGTTCTGATCGAGGAGAGGACGGACTACTTGATCAGAGTGGAGCCCGGCGAGGCCGACGCGGCCACCCGGCAGCTGCAGTCCGGGGGCCTGTCCCACTTCACGGAGAACCCGGTGCTGTTCGCCTTGCTGCCCCTCATCTTCGTCAACAAGTGTGCCTTCGGCTGCAAGGTGGAGGTGGAGGTGCTGCGGGCTCTGCTGCGCCGCCCGATGGCGCTGCTGCTGGGGGTTCTGGCCCAGTTCCTGGTCATGCCGCTGTACGCCTACTGCGCGTCCCGGCTGCTGTCGCTGCCCACCGCGCTGTCCCTCGGCCTGGTCATCACCTGCTCCGCCCCGGGGGCGGCGGCGGCTACCTTTACAGCCTGCTGCTGGGGGGCGACGTCACACTGGCAATCTCCATGACGCTGGTGTCCACGGTGGTGGC